CCCGCATTAATCATTTTAAAACATCAATATTTTAAATATGAAAATTCATAACTAATGTCTTTTAAACTTTTCTACCAAATTCCAACCTTGCCTTTATCAAGTAAAAAAAATTCTTTAACTTAAAAAAAACATTTCCATCAAGTTGAAAGGTATATTTTATAAGGAATTGTACAATAAATACAAAAGTTCATCTATTATTCACCATATATACGAGCATTAGGAATTTATGTAATAAAATATTTAACACTTAAAATCATTTAAAATAGTACATGTGATCTATTTAAGAAATATAATATTTCAATAAAAAGAAATTTTATTGGTAAGTTAATTGGGATGTTATCTACTTACCTGATACATTTCGAAATAAATATGACTTACTCCCAAATGGCCCTCTTGCAACCATATTTGATCCTTAAATCCCTAGGGATATCTAAGGAGTACCTTTATCATTTTCTTGTTTATATATTTTATAAGCCAAAGTCTTCAATCCAAAATAATATATTCATTGGTTTCTGTTTTATAAGAATAATTTATTATATTTTTTTAAGAATTTATGACATCTTTACATGTCTCATCTATTTAAAACACACTCTCTCATTTACCGCATTAGATTACTTTCAGAAACTATTCAGTGTAGATTTCTAAAATAATTAGAAATATACTTTTTTGAGATTCTGATTATTTTAAAAATTAAAATAAATATCATGAAAACTCAAAAAAATAAATTTTTAATCTCTTGAACAGCTTAGATTGGTCAACTGTTTAGTTTTCCCGATTGTTGATCGATTTGATTATTCACCAATTCTATTGCATCAGTCGAACTGGACTAGTGGCTGATTCTTGATTGAATTGGCTAGTTCGATTTGATTTTTAAAACATTATTTATTTCACCTTGAATTTTGATGATGTTAAGATCATATATATTTTATGGAATTTTAATGATGCCAATTAATGCACTCATCAACTTCAACACAGTTTTTAAAGAAATAGTTTCTGTTTACATTAGTATTGGAGGGCTTTGAGATGCTCATTTTGTAACATCTTAATTTTACTAATTAAAAACTTAATCAAATACGAAAGTAATAAAAAGATTTAAGTCACTAAAAATACTTATCATGGTATAAAAATTTAAAGTCAATTCTCAAATTTATTTTAAAAAGATGATCATGGTAGAAAAGAGTTAATCTATATTTTAGGGAACTACCATAGTTATAAAAATTTCATCTACTAATTAGATATTTAAAATCTAGCCTTGATAGAGTGATTAAACTAATTAAAAAGACTATGAAGCTTATAAAGTTTGCCCTTACTATTTAAACTAAAATAATACCTATCATGGTAGAAAAGAGTCTACCATAGTAGATAAAAAAATTGAAAATAAATATTTCATTCAACAAAAATCTATACTTATTAAAGCCTACAAACATGCGTGCGCATCCTACCATAAAGATTTAAATTATTTTTTCAAAAATATCTCGACACTTGAAATTTTATATATTTACTCTAAATAGATCTGTTACACAATTTATATGGCCTTTGGCCTCAACTAACAGTACCATTTCCATTCATCAATAGATAATAAACAATTTTAAAACTCAATTCAAATGATAAATATCATATACTAGCAAATGATTATTCTACAAAACTGAATGGGACAAAAGCTTACTCAAACTAAGCCTCGAGCTTCTAGATGTTTTCCCTTTGCTCCGCTAGACTCACCTAAAATATTAAAGAAAGAGGTGAGCACTAACGTTATTGTAACCCAAAATTTTACCCATGTACAACCAACAAAACACACAAAATAACATAACATAACATAAGCATGCATGCCATTCCATTATGGTTATTCAAATATGAATATAAAAGCTTAAAGGACACAATTCATAATCATTAGATGCAACTCATAATCAAATGCAAAATAGGTAATTCCTTTATTGTTCTGTCTAACTTTATACTGCTTACTATGACTATAGGCTTACTCACAGTCTAGCCCACACATTAGACTGACTAATGCATCCCTAATGCTCGAGAAATACCTAGCCAAAGGTATAGTGCCCAAACCTAAACTATGGCTTCCCTATATAAAAGAACCTACTCAGGAGGTGTCACTATCCCATATTCCCTTTTTACATACCTGGCCAGGTAAGTATTTAGAAATGAAACCCTGAATAAGGCCAACCATTGTGTGCAAAGCGGAGGCAAATCACGTGATCATTGAATCATACATACATACATACATACATACATACATATATTAACATCAATGTCATCATCTCCTCACCCTTTCACCAATGCATGTCATGAGCAAATGCAACAATCAAAACTTACGATAACACTTTAAAAGAAACATAATACCTCACTGAATCATAGTTATAAGTCACAATCATGCAGGGAGGATTACAGTAACTCATTAAATTCCATAACCACATTCTTTATGATTTCTCAACAATTATCATATATATATATATATATATATGTATATATATGATCTATATATAGGGCTAAGGTATCATAATCAATTAGATAAAATTATACATGAGTCATCACATCAAATATAGTTTGTACACATATAAAAAAACCCTAAGTTACCTACTCTCCTTAAGCTTACAAGTAGTTACACAATAAGTCCAAGCAATAAGAGCTCTAAGTGAGTCTATAGAAGTCATACACATACAAAACTATTGACATATAATTTAAAACTGCTAAAAGATTATTTTAAGGTTACTTTACTATTACTTTAAAGTTATTTAGGACCTTAAAGTTATCTTGGAGAATTCAAATTTCTTTTAAATCAATATCCCTTTATACAAACTAGTTTATCTATATTTATAAAAGCATTTATTTAAAGTTTCTATTCATCTCAAATATTTACTCTAAGTCTCAAACTTTACTCTAAAAAATTCTCAAAATCTCATAAATAATTTATATGTAGAGTTCAAATCTTTTAAAACCTCAAAATAGATCTAGATATTATTACAGAAATTTCCTATAAGCAAAAATACACAAAAAGTTCTCAATAGATTATTTTATAAATTTTTCATTCTCAAGAATCTAAAACTAAAAAGATAGATTGATAGAACAAGACATGATTCCAAAAGGCCTTACATCAACCTTTAAATACATGTATATAAAATCAAAGTCTTTCATTGTTGGATTAAAAAGTTTGACAAAGTTAATATCAACTTTGACTTTATAAAAAACTCTCTCATTAAATCACAATGAATTATCTATTAATTACTCACTTTTTGCAATTATTAACAAAATCAAAGATCTTACCATACGTGATTGGACAAATACATTTGATCAGATTTTTAGAAAAACAAACAAATGCACAGATTATTATCTCAAATCTCGACCAACAATTTTTATGTTCATGTTTTTAATATTCCAATGCTTGGTTGTTATAATTTTTTTTATATTGATATGACTCAACTTATTAATTAACACAGTTTATGGCCTTTGATTCAAGAAAAAAAAATTAAAGTCTTGAACCTCTCTCGTTGACACGCTCCTACTGTTTCTCTTGCTCTCAATGTGCGGCGCTGATGGAGGAAAATGAACTGGAGCTTTGAGTACGTGCTAGGCACAGGTCAACCGAAGTTTGAATGGGCCTTTGGCCCCACACCCCATTTCATTATTATTATGTATACATTATAAATTATAAATATTATAAATATTTACCTATTTATATAATTTTTTTCGATTATTCATGTATATGTATATACGCGCACGCACTTCTTTTATTACTTTATTTTATTGTACAAAAAATTAAATCTTATAAATATCTTATTTTGGACAAATTCTTCTTTTTAAATTATTTATTATTTTTAGTTTTCAATAAATTTTCAATATTTTTCTATGCCTCAAATTCTCTTTATATCCTCAAAATAATCTATAATTAATTTCTTGCTTGCTAGTTAAAGCCTTAGATGTTACATATCTCTTTTTCTTTAAAGAATTTTGTTTTTAAAGATTAATATTATATAGTCAAATCTTATCCTCGAATGAAACTTCAACTATATAAACCCCTAACCTATTTTTTTAACACCTCTTGTGTGGCCATTAACTTGTTTCTCATCTCTACGTTTTATCATGAGAATAGAAATTTGATATTTATAAAAATTGGATAATTTCTTTAGTGCCAAAAATTTCAGACCTCTCGCAAAATATTTGCAAAATACTCTTCAGAACAATTAACATTTAAATCACCATACAATTTCTTGTTAGTCAATTGATAAGTTGAACCGGAAAGTGAAACATTATAATAAAATTACACGCAAGGTTTTTGCTATGCTACTCTAATTAACAGGGCTATAATGAGTTCCTGTTACATATCTTACTTTACTTTTTTTTTTCATATTTTTGTTAGAATTTCCCTTATGGACAATGTAATAAATTTTACTAACTCTATTCTTCTACAACACATCTCAATCTGCATGATTTTCCTCCTCCAACTCATCATAGTCATTTCCCTACAACATACTTCCAGCCAACAAATCTTAATTTTTCCCATACGCACGCTCTTCCAATTAAAATGTGAACATTTCTGCTTAAAACTTATAATTTTTAATCTTTGCGTGAAACTCAATTATCACTACATTGTTGTAAATGTTAGTCTGTTGTGCCTTAAATTGTTTCCATAACAAATCCCTAACTATCTTTTGAAATTCATAAAGTTTGTTCTTAGGCTTACATTCTCACTCTTGAATTGAGATCATGAGGAATTTTTAAGAAAAAGCCTACCTCTAGAATTTAATTAATTCGTACCATTATGAGAAATAGTATATGTATTCCCATAAATTCTTAGAATTGAAAACATTCTTGGCAATAACTCCTATAATGGGCTTGTCTCCAGTTTCACAAGTTACTATTGGGCTAACTCGAATTGGCTTAAGAGGCCCATATCTGAAGCAACCAGTCCCATATGTCCAAAACGAAGACGCTACTTCTTCATAGAAGAAAGTTATGAGTAGCTCTTATCAAAAAAAAAGAAAGAAAGTTATGAGTAGTGAACAGGTTTGATGGTGGCTTCTCCTAGTCTGGGAAATCGTATAAATTGCAGAGCAATCAAGAAGAAAATTCGAAGAGGGCGTGGGACTTCAAATGCTATTTCTGGAAGGCGTTTTTCCTCTAAAACACTATCTCCCCTCTTCAACGCTTCAACTCAAAATTGGACCCATGGGTTTGAAGGTACGCCTGATGATGTGTGTGTTTACTCCACTTCATGTAATGCCGGTGGCAGGGATGAACCTGCCGCCGGTTCAAAATGAAAATCTTATCTTTGAACTGTCAGGGGTTGGGGATTCCCCTAACATTTAAAAATTTAGAGGAGGAATGTAGAAAAATTAAACCCAAATTGTTTTTTTGATGGAGACCAAACAAAAGCATCGATATGTTAACAAGATTAGGAGGAAAACTAGCTTTGATGAAGAGTGGATTGTCGATACGGTGGTTAAGAGGGGTGATTTGGCTGTTTGGTAGAAGCAGGATGTTATTGTGAATATTTTATCTTCCTCTCTGAATGTGATTTACACAAGTATATCTTCATCTTCTCTTGAAACACCCCAGTACATCACTTTTATTCATGATCCACCTATGGAACGAGACAGATTGTTGTTGTGGCAATAGCTTACTAATATTGCTCAGAGTATGAATAACTTTTGGTTATGTCTAGGAGATTTTAATGATATTGTATCAATGAGGGAGAAAGAAGGGGAAGACCAAGGCCAGTACGAAAGATGCTGAATTTTGAACTTTTTATTTCAGATTGCTCTCTCTTTGATCTTGGGTTTAATGGCTCTAGATTTGCATGGTGTAATGGTCAGCAAGATCAGGACAGTATTAGGGAACGAATTGATCGTGCTATGGGAAATGCTGAATACTGTAAACATTTTCCTAGAACTCAAGTTTTTTATATTGACCCCATGGGTTCAAACCACCATCTCCTACTTGTGGATCTAAATTTCACTTCTAGTAAAACTCCTTGGACCTTCTAATTTGAAGAATTTTGGCCCACTCACCAAGAGTACTTGCAGGTTGTCCAAAAAAGTTGGTAGACTCAGGTTGATCATCTCAACAAACAAGTTGACATTTTTCTGGCTAGACTTTCTTCTTGTAAAACTTCTCTCACAAAATGAAGTTCCAAGGTTTTCCCTAATAACAGAAGAGTTATTGATCAACTCAAAATACGACTCGTGGATTGTAAACAGGGGGTTCTTGATAATGCAAAAATCATAAAGGCAAAGGAATTACCTATTGAAATTGAGTAGTTGCTTGACAGGGAAGAGATGTACTAGAGACAGAGGTCACAGGTTATTTGGTTACAAGTGGAGATCAACACTCTCATTTCTTCCATTTGACTGCCATAATAAGAAGACAAAAAATAGCATTTTGAAGATAAGAGATGAGCATGGTAGCTGGATTAGTGAAGCTGCAGACATAGCCAAGGTTTTCACTTATTATTACACAAATCTCTTTACTGCATCACAACCTCGATCAATTGAGGAGGTTCTCAATCATTTGGATTGCAGAATTGATGACAATTTGAATGTCAAGCTATTGCTCCCAATCACTAAAGAGGAAGTTCGTATGGCTGCTTTTAGCCTAGGCTCCTCAAAGGCACCTGGTCTTGACGAATTCTCAGGTAAATTTTATCAATCCTCTTGGTCTGAGGTGGGAGATAATATATATCCGATTGTCCTTAATCTTTTTAAAGGGAAAGAGTTTGTGGATGGCCTTAATGATACTAATATTACTTTGATACCTAAGATTGATAAGCCTGAACTTGTCACTTAGTTTTGACCTATGAGGCTTTGTAACTTCTCTTATAAAATCTTCTCCAAAATTTTAGTTACTTGTATGAAACCTTTCCTTGATAACAGTGTTTCTCTTAATCAGGGGGCTTTCATTCCAGGCCGATTAATTCATGATAATTATTATTGCTCATGAAGTGTGTCATTATTTGAGAAGAAAACGTGACAGTAAGAAGTATGAATTCGCTTTGAAGATGGACATGAGTAAGGCTTATGATAGGGTCAAATGAGATTTTTTGAAACATGTGCTCTTGAAATTTGGTTTTTTGTTTGAAGTGGGTAAATCTCATAATGAATTGTGTTAGCTTGGTCAATTTGAATTTCTGTCTCTCTGGAGCTAAGGTGGGAACTATTATACCTAGGAGTGGGTCAAGACAGGGGGACCCTTTGTCACCATATCTATTTATTCTAGTCTCTAACGTTAAATCTAGTACGATTATTAAGCAACAGGAGCGACATGATCTCAAAGGCATAAAAAGAAGTTTACAATGGCCAGAAGTAACACAACTTTGTAGATGATGCTCTTTTCTTCATGAATGCATAAAAAGCAGTTGCAGAGTACTAGTAAAGAATTTGCATGATTATTGTGAAGCATCTGATCAGATAGACAATTTGGAAAAATTTACCCTTTTCTTCTCTAACTCCGCCTATGTTTATAGCCGGTCCCAAGCCCGGGTAAAGGAGGAGGGTTGTGTTAGGCCATCAACAGCCAATGTAAAAATTTGTTGAATCTATCATGAACATGGACAATAGACGTTATAATGTTAATGCTAGGTCGTTGCCCGTAAGTAACGCGCTGCATGGCTCGAGTACAGTGATAAGTGAGTTAGAGCCGCTGCATCGGCGCCCGGATGTAGTGTTAAATGAGCAAGAGCTACCGCGTCATTCTGGACGCACGCGGCTAAAGAAGTTAGTCCATAAGAGCAAAATTAGATTTGGTACTTGGAATGTTGGGACATTAAATTGTAAATCTGTAGAGGTTGTAGGGGTTATGATTCAAAGGAAAATCAATATCCTTTGCTTGCAAGAAACAAAATGGCGTGGAGAAGAAGCTAAGGATATTCAAGGTTTCAAACTTTGGTATACAGGAAAAGTAAGTGCACGCAATGGAGTAGGCATCATTATAGATAAGGAGTGGAAGAAGAACGTTGTAGAAGTTAGCAGAATTGGAGACAGAATTATTTCTTTAAAAATGATAATTGGACGTGAGACTGTTAATATTGTTAGCGCTTATGCGCCGCAAGTCGGGACAGAAGCCAGTCTTAAGGAATTATTTTGGGAGGATCTGGAGGGGTTGATTCGACACATACCACAGAGTGAAAAGATTTTTATTGGAGGAGACTTTAATGGGCATGTCGGGAGGGAAGCTGGTCAGTATGCGAGGGTGCATGGTGGTTTTGGTTTTGGAGAGCTAAACAATGAAGGGCAAACTCTTCTTGATTTCTCATTGGCGTATGATTTTAAGATTGCCAATACTTGTTTCAAGAAGAGAGATGAGCATCTCATCACCTACAAAAGTGGAGCCTCAAGGTCGCAGATTGATTTTCTTTTGGTTAGGAACACAGATAGAAAACTTTGTAAAAATTGTAAGGTGATCCCTGGAGATGCTGTAACGACACAACATAGGGTCCTAGTCCTTGATGTGTGTATTATGAGTAAAATCCAAAAACGTCGACAAGTAGTAACACCAAGGATTAGGTGGTGGCAATTAAAAGGTGAGAAGCAAGATATTTTCAAGCGAAATCTTTTGGATAAAGGAATTTGGGATTCTCAGGGAAGTGCTAACATCATATGGGAGGATATGGCTAAAAAGATACGGGAGGTTGCAAAAGTAGTTTTGGGAGAATCGAAAGGTCCTGGTCCGAGAGATAAGGAGTCTTGGTGGTGGAATAATAGTGTACAGGACAAAATCAAGTATAAGAAGAACTGTTTTAAAGCCATACATTTGTGTAACAATGAGGAAAATTGGGAGAGGTACCGTATGGCTAAGAAGGAAACTAAGAGAGCTGTGGGTGAAGCTCGTTCTAAAGCTTTTGAAGAATTTTATAAGAACCTTGAGACGAAGGAAGGAGAGCAAAATATTTATAAGATTGCCAAGAGTAGGGAAAGAAAATCAAGAGATCTAGAACAGGTAAGGTGTATTAAGGATGAAGAGGGAAGAATTTTAGTTACAGATGATGAAATTAAAAATAGATGGGAGACTTATTTTTCTAAACTTTTCAATGATGGAGAGGATTCATCTAGTAACTTGGAGGATTTAGTAATTGGTGAAGGAGAACAAAATTTGTCATTCTATCGAAACATACGTGATAAGGAGGTAAAGGAAGCTCTTAAGAAAATGGCAAATGGTAGAGCTAACGGACCTGATTGTATATCTATCGAAGCGTGGAAATGTTTAGGTGAAGAAGGGGTGAGATGGTTAACTAAGTTATTTAATGTGATTTTACGGTCCAAGAAAATGCCTGATGAGTGGAGGAGAAGTACATTAATTCCTATTTATAAAAATAAAGGAGATATTCAGAATTGTACTAACTATAGAGGGATTAAACTCATGAGCCACACAATGAAATTGTGGGAGAAAGTAATTGAGCATAGGTTGAGATTGGAGACAAGTATTTCTGAGAATCAATTTGGTTTTATGCCAGGTAGATCAACTACAGAGGCGATTTATCTACTAAGGGGATTAATGGAAAAGTATCGTTGTAAAGATAAAGATCTACACATGGTTTTTATTGATTTGGAAAAAGCTTATGACCGTATACCAAGAGAAGTGCTTTGGAAAGCGTTGGAAAAAAAGGGAGTACGGATTGCTTATATTAAAGCCATACAAGATATGTATGAGGGGGTAAAAACTAGTATAAGAACGCCTAGTGGTCAAACAAAGGATTTTCCTATAAAGATTGGGCTACATCAGGGATCATCTCTGAGTCCTTATTTGTTCAACTTGATTTTAAATGTTTTGACGGAACATATTCAAGAGGAAATCCCGAAATGTATGCTCTTCGCGGATGATATAGTTCTTATAGCAGAGACAAGAGAAGAGGTTAATTGCAAACTTGAGTTATGGAGGAGGACATTGGAGTCGAAAGGTTTTCGTCTGAGTAGAAGTAAGACGGAATATTTATATTGTAAATTTGATAAAGGACTATTCGAAAATAATTTGGAAGTAAAATTGGGAGATCAAATTATACCTCAAGTGGAAAAGTTTAGATATTTGGGAGCCATTATCCAAAATGATGGCGAAATCAGTGGAGATATTTCACATAGAATTCAAGCTGGGTGGTTTAATTGGAGAAAAGCTAAAGGAGTTATTTGTGACCGTAAGGTGCCTAATAAACTTAAAGGAAAGTTTTATCGTACTGCTATCAGACCGGCAATGTTATATAGTAGTGAATGCTGGGCTCTAACGGGACAGCAAGAGCATAAAGTTGGAGTAGCAGAGATGAGAATGTTACGATGGATGTGCGGACATACACGTAAAGATAAAATTCGAAATGAGCACATACGTGAAAAAGTGAGGGTGGCACCTATTGAGGAAAAAATGGTAGAAAATCGGTTGAGATGGTTTGGGCATGTACAAAGAAGACCAAGGGAGGCACCAGTGAGAAGAGTAGAACATATAACTTTGAGTCCGATTAAGAGAGGTAGAGGAAGGCCTAAGAGAACACTCTTGGAAGTTGTTGAACGTGATCTCTTAATTAATAATATTTCTAAAAGCTTAATAAATGATAGAGCACAATGGCGTCTTGCAATCCATGTAGCCGACCCCACCTAGTGGGATAAAGGCTTGTTGTTGTTGTTGTTGTTGTTTTACCCTTTTCTTCTCTGCCAACACCCGTCTAAATGTGAGGGATTTGGTCAACACTATCTTGGGGATTGGAGGCTTTAATGATTCATGGAGGTATTTCAGAATTCCTAGTGTTTGGGGTAAAACCAAATATCAAGCCTATATTAGAGATCGTATGATTAAGAAAATTCAAGGATGGAGTCGTAGCTTCATATCTCAAGTAGGTAGAGAGGTTATGATTAAATCTGTTATAAATGCTATTCCTACTTTCTCTATGATGTGCTTTAAATTCCCGATCAAAACTTGCAAGGAATTTGATAGGCTCATCTCTAATTTTTGGTGATGGAAATCTTCTGGGGGAAAAATTACATTGGATTGCCTGGTAAGATCTTAAGAGGCCTAAAATGGAAGGAGGTATGGGTTTAAAGGATTTTGTGAATTTTAATGATTCACTTAGCCAAAACAGCCTGGAGACTTATGACTAATCCTGAGGCTTTGTGGGCTAGGGTGATTAAAGGTATTTACTTTCCTGACTCTCATTTTCTTGAGGCGAAGAAAGGTTCAAAAGCTTCTTGGTGTTGGATTAGCTTGTTAGAAGGTCAAAGATTTTCTGAAAGATAATTTATGCTGGAAGATAGGAGATGGCGCTTCTATTAAAATTTGGCAAGACCAATAGATCCTGCTGCTCTGCCATTTCAAATTGCACATTGAAGACCCTGAGTTGAAGAAGTCAAATGTCCTCGTGGCCACTCTTATTGATAATGAAAACTGGAATTTGACAGGAATTTCCCACCTAATTAGTGAAGACATGGCAGCAGTGATAAATCTCATTCCTCTTGCTTCAACCAGCTCATCTGATAAGGGAGTATATACTGTCTAACAAGGTTACAAGCGAGCTATGAAGAAGCTTAGTGATAGGCATACAAGGGCCACAACATCATCAACAACCTCTAACAATATGTGGAAGTCACTTTGGAGAATTAAAACTTCCACATATAAATTACTTTCCATGGAGATGCCTCTCAAGTGCCCTAGCCACTAATGGTGCCTTACTAAAGAGACATAGAGGAAGATTAGAGTTATGCTCAATCTGTGAATCTGAACCAGAAATAACTGAACACCTTCTTTCACTGCCCCTGGCCCCGGTGTGTTTGGTTTGGTTGCAATCTGTCCATGAAAGTAGTGTTCTTAATATGCAAAATTTTAAAGCTTGGTGGTCATATCACATCTGATGCTATTGCTTTGTCTGATCTTGAAATATCTCATCTATGCTGGATATTATGGCTAATCTGGAAGGCTAGGAATGATAAAGTCTTCGATGATAGAAAACCGAGTCGTACTTATGTCATAACAGGCTAAGGTTTCAACATTTGAATATTGGAAAGCAATAAGTCATGGCTCACATCCTACAGAGGAGAATGAAGGAAAAATCCATGAGCAGATTTAGTCCCTCCACCCACTGGTTTCCTCAAGATTAACTATCATGCAACTTTCATTCCCAAGGGTGGCAAGGCAGCTGTTGGAGTGGCATGAAAGAACAATGCTAGCCATTTTACTTGAGGTTTTACTGATAAAGTGAAGTCCATATTAACATTTATGACTGAAGCTTTAGATCTAAAAAGAGAGCCCTTCTGCTTGCAAGAGGCCTTAGCTATGATAAGGTTATTTTTGAAAGTGATTGTCTCAATCTTGTTATTTGCATTCAACAAAATCAGCATGGTCTTGGTGAATGGCAGAGCAGTAGTATAACTGAGGATATTTCAACCCTTATGCAATATGTGGTTGGGTGCTCTCTTTCC